CTGTGGCACATTTTCTCTCCTTTAAAGCTGGTAATTCATTCACACGGGTTATTGCCAAGTCTTTGAGACTAACGGTGACTGCATATCTCAGTCCGGCTTCTGATCTATTCCATTAAAAGTAAAAATTTGTTTCATTTATAGTTTAGCTCTCAGATATTATGTGAGTATGGAGATGCTAAGTTATACTGTGATAACTTTAGCCCTGAAATCTCAGGGGCTTAGCCCAGCAAAGGTTTATTCTCACTCCTGCATTATACAAGATTTTCTCAACCTGGGCATCGTTGACATTTGGGGCCAGGTAATTCTTTGTGGTTGGGGGCTGGGGGGCTGTCCTGTGCATTGTCGGATGTTTAGCAGCATCCCTGACTTCTACACTCTAGATGCCAGGAGTAAGCCCCCGCCCCCAGCTGTGACCACCAAACTTGTCTCCAGACTTTGCCAGATGTCTCATTAATGGTGGGGAGCTGGGTGTCTAGGAGGCAGGGACTCAGCCATTCTGAGTCACTCAGGTACCACACTCACAGAGGCTCCCCCAACTGCAGTGTCACCAGCCAAAGAGATGGCTTTTCTGTACTTTGGCCTGGCAAAGATGTGTCGCATTCTGCTCTCATTTGGCAAGAGCTCCTCGCGGGACCTCACCTAACTGCAGGGAAGCTGCGAAGTTTGTGGGAGCAGGTGGATTATCTGGGGCCTCCATGGTCTCCAGGACAGAGGGAATCATCTTATTTTTGTGGCATCAAAGTTTTAGGTGGGAAGCACTTTTCTTCAGCCCCCATAGGTTAGAAACAGGGGCCCAAAATGCGCTGTAGCGATGAGCGACGTTCCTGATCATCTGCTGTGGTGCAACATTTATACTTGCACACAAGAAGAGTTTTCCCAATTCGGCTCTATTTTCTCTAACACGGTGGTGCTGAGACTTCTGCAGGGCAGCAGTTTGGAAATTCAGAGGGGCCTAGAAGGGAGAGTGTCCTGGGGCCTGGATTCTGGGAGCTCTGTTGAGGGCTGCTACTGCTGCCAAATCCAATGTTCGGGATGCAGTGCGAGATTCGTGTCTCATCACCGGAGGCCAGAAGTGCTCAGGGTCCTTGGGATAAAGACAAATGCAGCCGTGAGGACCCCTCCAGGAGGACATTATTAGATTTTAAGGAGTGGAGCGTGTTCCGACTCGAAAAGGTCAGGAGGGACATGTACTGGATACTGATACTGATTTTTTTAAATTTTAGGACATAACTAAATTTCAGGTTTGGAGTTCAGCTCCTTTCTTTCCAGAGAAGCAGCAACATTGCCAAGTGGGCTACACATCCTCTCTGTTTTTGTTCTTGAGGACCATGGGTGCTCATTCTTGGGGCTTCTGTGCCGAGTAGCCCCAGAACTGCTTCCTGGGGATGAGTTCCTATAACCTGGAGTAATCAAAGTCCCAACAGCTGTTCCTGTTCTGGGGTCATACACCCCTCGGGTCCACAGGGAGTCCCAGGGAACCCCAAAACCATGGGATTCAGCTTATCTCATAGCTTACGTCCATTTTGATGAAATAGCTCTTTTAGGATTATACCTGGAAGTTGCTGAATCAAGGTCCAGCTTAGGAGTCAAGCTTTTCTCACTTAGATTCTATTTGCCTTTCTGTCAGAGGACTATAAACTTTCTTTCGTGAATTGAATCATATTTTTTTAGTGGTGATTTTACATAAAAATGTTTCACCAGATAGGTAGCGATTTCCACTGCATTTTGTATTACAATGACAAAGCAATGGTCTAACTATGATATGAGAGTGACATCTTTGACCATTAATTGTGACAATTATTTCTCTTAATTTTTTAAACCTCAGTAGAATTATTGTTCTCATCACTACTTAGAATACTTTTTAAAAAATGTTCCATTTTGGGGCTGGCCCGGTGGCACAGCAGTTAAGTGCGCATGTTCCACTTTGGCAGCCCAGGGTTTGCCGATTCGGATCCCGGGTGTGGACGTGGCACCACTTGGCAAGCCATGCTGTGGTAGGCATCCCACATAGAAAGTAGAGGAAGATGGGCATGGATGTCAGCTCAGGGCCAGTCTTCCTCAACAAAAAGAGGAGGATTGGCAGTGGATGTTAGCTCAGGGCTAATCTTCCTAGAAAAAAAAAAGTTCCATTTAATTTTCCCTCATTCTTGTTATAAAATTTAAATACTGTTTCTCCAGATCATTGGACCTCAGTTATAAATGAGTTTAAGATCCCTTTGTGATCAAAATATTTATCTGTTACAGAGGTGAGAAAGAAACAATCGTTTTTCAGAGTAGACTGGAATTTTAACAGTGGAGAAAAAATATTTTTTAAAAACCCAACATTTTTCTAGTATATTGAGAAATCCAGGATGAACTACATTGTCAAAAAAATTTGGAAGACGAAACTGAATGTCGTCTATTGGGAATATGAGTTGACATGAGTGCCTCCTATTTTATCACATGACTGGGATTTACTCTTTCCCTTTGAAATGACACCTTTGGAGATGTCGATTCCTGGGTTCCTGGTGAATAACAGAACAGAGTCCTGAAGTAAGGACCGTATCTTGTGAACCTATGGGCAGTAAAATGTAGTCCCAGTTCTCTCGTTTGATTCAGTCCAAACTGGTTCAAAGAACTACTGCAGAGAATAAGCAATCTATCTTTTTATAAAAAGTTTTAAAAATTCAAATTAGAAGATAAAAAGGCAAACACCTGTATGGCATACCAAACAAATCTTCAGGAAAGTTAATTCTTAATTCTCCACGTGTCTGAGCTACACCACTGCTCCTCCTGGGCAGGAATGCCTGAGGTCTCCTGACGGGTCTCTCAGTCAGCCTTCCAGTTCACATCTGGGCAGGACTGAGCTAAGGCAGTAACAGAGTCCACATGCGCAGCTTTCAAAAGCCAAGTGGGAGATACAGGCCCTTCAAATGAATTTGTTCCAGGAGCCTACCCTCTCTTGGGGTGTTAAACACACGGAGACTTGACTCGAATGTCAAGTTCGAAGCACCCTCCAGATTTGCAGCATTCAGAGAAAGAGCAGAAGAGGCTTCCCACACGCCTCTCTCTGTAACAGCCTTGGCCCGGCTGACCCTCACTGAGGATGGGCTCTAAGTGGCTGCAGTGTCACAGAAAGGGCTTCTGAAGGAAATCTGTCATCCCTGGGAGGAAAGGGGAATGAGAGGAGTTGGTATGAAGAATCTTAAGGTAACCTACTTCCTGTTTAAACTCTGCGGCAGGCGGTAACCATGCCCAGGAATTCTTTCTGCAGCCTAACATGTCCGCGTGTCAGCCTGACTTCATTTTTAAAAGGCAGATGTGCTGAATATGTGTACATTGACACAGACGTTGTATCTTGCCTCTCCCAGCATCGACTAAGCCTCAGATGGAGGCATCCCTTTATGGATGCCCTTTAGTAGAGTCATCTGGAACAGGTCCACATTGCCTGCCCTCTTTTCCAGTTCTTCCCAAAAACACACAGAGAGGCTCACATTCCCTTGAATAAGCTTGTCTGTGGTCGGGTGCTCTTTGGGGACGGCACAGATACCCATGACAGTTTTTTTACATTGATTCCATTATTTCCTATTTGAACCAGTTGGTCACTAAATACCTATAATTACCTAAGGCACATTGCCATTATACACGCAAATTATCAAAGCAAATTAAATGTGTGTGATGCTACCTAGTGGGAAAATCTCTACAGTTTTATTTTAAAAAGCTGTAAGGATAATGCAAAAAAGGATGTTCTGCACCTAATTCCAGTTGGTTCATGCACGTGAATTCTCTGTTTTTATCTGCCACCTTTTCATACCCAGGAAGCAGTTTTTAGGCCTCAGTCAGAGGATGTTTGATTAGCAGTTAGCATCTCAGAAAGTCATAATATTGTGGAATAAACAGGAAATCAATTATTTCATAATCATTTGTTTGAAAATCTATTTTTTTCCTAAAAATTTGAATATTTAGGGGTTTAATGGAACACAGAACTTACACTTTAAAAACTGTTTAACCGTCCTACTCTGGGGTCAGTGAATTCCCCTAATTTGGAATTTTTAACACCTTTATTAAGGTATAACATACAGACCATAAAGTTCCAATTCAGTAATTTTCAGTAAAGGCATAGAGTTCTGGAACTCTAGTCACAATCTAATATGAGAACATTTCCTTCACCCCCAAAAGATCTCTGTTACGCATTTCCAGTCCCACCCCATCCTCACTCCCAGACTCACTTAATTCTGGATTTGATACATTTAGGATTTCTCAAAACTAAGAAAGTAAAGTATGAACTGAGGTCCTAGCTTGTTTAAGATTGTTCCTGATGGCTATTTGTGTGGGGGTGTGTGTGTGTGCACATGTGTGCACATGTGTAGTTTTATCATCTCTCACATACATATTAGCATTGAGCCTACCTTTTCCTTCTGCTTTGTTTTAAACAGAAATACAGCCTACAAGTTTAAAATGTTGAAGTTGGAGTGCAAGAGGTAGCAGAGCTAGGAGCTTAAAATCTGTTAGTCAATATATATTTATTGAGTGTCTGTTCTACATTCCCAAGCTGTAAAGTTTATTAGACTAAAATGACAGTCCTGTTTGAGTTCTGTGCTCAAACAATGAATAGGCTTTTTCCTCTCTCACCAGCACAGCATGGCCTAAGAAATTAGGGATTGGGAAAAGGGAAGAAGGAGGGAGAGAAGAGAGAGAGAGAGATTCTGAATAAGAAGAAAATGCCATGGTAATAATAAGTCTAAATTTGCATCATGGCAGCTATCACTTAATCAGTTGGATCTTGTATTCTTGGGCAGATAAACAATAATGCATGGTTTTTGTTTGGGTTTTTTTTCAAGCTATGACTTTTACTCTTTGGAGCCTTAAGCATGAGAAATACATACATTTCATCCACAATTGAATGATCAGTCTTTGCCTTCTTAAAGTACATGGCAGCATAATTTCTGTGCATGTTCTCAGTGTGTTGAATATCATGACACTTTCCACATGACACCAACTCCTGTCCTTGTAAACCGCAGGCACGTCCATCTGGAAAGCCTTTTTCTTCACACCCAAGTTCACCCCTGAGGGCGCCAATGGATGCTTTTCCACACACGTGTGTTTCTGTCACGGGGATTACATCACCCACCATCACCCGCCTTTACTCTTTGATATTTCCAAAGATCCAAGAGAAAGAAACCCATTAACTATGACGACCGAGCCCCGGTTCCAGGAAATCCTGGAAGCTATGCAGCAAGCTGCAGATCACCACACCAAGACCCTGCAAGAGGTCCCCAATCAATTGTCACTGGGAAACATTGTCTGGAAGCCATGGCTTCAGATGTGTTGTTCCTCCTCCGGCCTGTCTTGCCAGTGCGACCAAGAAAAACAAGACAGAACAGTGAGCCATTAGCCATTGTGCGTCTGGGGATGAGACAGACGCTCGGTGCCCGCTCCAGCTCCTTCGTTACAAACGCACACTGGGAGTGGCACTGGGTGAAGCCAGCTCTGTCAGCACCTTAGATCGGGGTCGCTTCTCTATCCTATCAGCTGAAGGCTCAATCAAGAGCCCACAGTTAGCCCATGGGAAAAAATCAAGGTTTGCAGTGTATAGAGAGACAGATGTTAGACTTAGGCCTTCCGAGGCCAGAGTTCTTGGATTCATGTAAATGCTTTAGAGGGGGTTCAAATGAGTACGTCCAACACCAGGGTAGACGGATAGTAGGAAGGTGCAGAAGGTAAGCTGTTCAGCCCTCAGCAAATGCCTGTGATCAGCAGTATAAGGCATCATTTATTCCACAATCTGATGTGAGGCAGTGGACCACATGATTCCCTCAGTGCACCAATAAAAAAGAATAAAATTTAAAAAGTGTTAGTAAATTTTAACATATGCAACTTTATAATGAAGAAAGGACCATCTTCTTTACCAATAATAGAGGATGGTAAGTTCCAATTTAGTTATTGGAAGGCTATTACTATTGGTATTATTTAGAACACGTATTAAATACTATTGAAGATATCTGTATTTATATATACACAGTTTATTTCTTTCCTCGAGAAGGTTAAGATATTTATGATATGGAACTAGAAGCTTATCAGTATTTAGGTAAAAACAATAGAAGCTCACAGATAGATTTGTTTGTGCAACAGACTTTTTGTGAAATCCTTCAGGACCAGTAATCCCAAGACAAATCTTACCTGCAGATTTCCAGCCCATAATGTGTAGCATTATACTTGGTTTCTACTGTTTCTCTGATGACTGGAAGTTCTGAACTAAAAGGCTGCTTTGGGGCTGCTACAGTGAAAGGGATCCCTTCCAACGTCATTCAGAATCGTTGGCGTGGAAAGTGTGGTATCTTGTTGGGGGGAGAAGAACCACTCTCAAGCAGTCCATGATCCACACACAGAAGGATGATATCTTTATTTCTTGCAGAATTTAGTGGTGTGAGAACAGTAGTTAATGTAAGTATTTGTGTTGTGTGGTCTTATCCTGTGGCTGAGAAATATCTATGCTTACAATCTGCAATGAGATGCACAGTTTTGTTTTAATTCCAGTTCCCCCACCTCAGTAATTAAGGGACAAGGCACAGCCAGGTCACAGAGGAGATTGGCTGAGAGTGGCATGACTGGAGGGAGGGCCAAAGTCTGAACCACCAGCCCTCCCGAGGAAAGAATTCACCTGCTTGGAGAAGCCTCTTGTCACTCCTTCAGACAGTGTCCGTCCTCCAACACTATCATGTAGATTCCTTTAGTGATCCGTCGAGAGGAGCTGCCATCCACCTGCCTACCCATTCATCTCGTCTGTGAATGTGTCTGAGCATCGCGTCTCAGCCCAGCATTCATTCAATTCCATGAGAGTGCAGACAACTGGGCCCCCTAGACCCCGAGTGGCCGTGTGGAGAGAACGTGCACTGCATCATAGGCTGTCTGACAGTGGACTCTAATTTCCTCTGTTTCTCCCTGAAGAATTTCCAAGATCCACCAGCATTTCCCCAGTTCCTCTTTAAGATCTGCTAGTTCAGATTTTAATCTTTGTTTTCTTTTTCTTAAAAAGTAGAAGTGATCCCCACCCCCACCCCAGGAATGGTTGAACGTTGGAAAGCAGCCAGGATTCTTACTTCTGGTGTGGATTTCTCATTCCAGAAATTGCCCCAAATGTGTCCTATTGTTTTAGGAAATATTCTTGTTAAAGAGTGTACCAGCATGTTAATAATGTATTAGGATTATTGCTGATATTGTTGTGCAAAAACTATTTGAAGCCACTATGAGGAACGTATGTTTTAAGATGATCATGTTTACTCACAATTTAACAGATTCAATGCAAATGGACTTTCAGAAAACACTTGCTGACGTGGGAATGTGTGTTGGAGCACTGAATAACTTGAAGTGCTTTTATGGATTATATGAATACGTATTTATGTATAGAATTCATTGTTTAATCTGTACAAAGTGAACAACAAATGAAGGACAAATACACCTCCAGAGATAAAACAACTTTAAAGTATTTGCTTCAGAACGCCTAAGGTCACCATTATGTTTTAGGGTATTCAAAGATTGATAAAAACAGTAATAACTATTATTATCTTAGATTTCAAACCATTTATCATCTGAAAGTCTTGCTTGGAACGTACAACAGTAAATTTGAATTCTTTTGTCCAGGAGAGACCTAAGAAACCTTCTTAAAGGACCTAGTTTCTTTACAAAGCTGTAAGGCATGACTGCTTGCTTTCAAAGCATCCCAGCTGTATGACCTCTTGAGCTGTATGTCCAAGCCTTAGTGGGTCTTGAAGCTTTAAGCAAATTCCTTGAAAAAAATCTTTATATTCCTAGCATTTCATAGCTGTTACAAGCTAAGCGGTTAGTAACGTATACACAGGCATTATTTTACAAGGTCAGTAACGCTGTGTGAAAAGCAAAATCGCAGCATACCTACCAAGGTAATTAAGGATTCAAGAAAGGAAACAGACTTCGGATTGGCTGAAGGACGTATAATGATGAGTAGAGAAACAGGACAAGTATTTGGCCCGTGTCTGATAAATGCTATCTGTAAAGTGAGTGCATCTGGTAAAGTTTTCTTAGAGCCTTGTTCTAATGTTAATGCGAAATTAAAATAAAATTTTCCTTGGCAAATAAAAATTCTGTGCTCTGGTGCCATGCTGTCACATGACTCCATTCACAAAGTGTGCGGAGGGTTTACTGTGTTTTGGGCGTGATGTTAAGCGATGGGAATACAAGTTTCAGTCCAAGAAATATTTCTTGAGTCCCCAAGGCTCCAGGGAGGGGCTAAGAAATGCAGAGATGGATGAGAAATAAAATAGCCCCAGACCTCCCTGATTAGAGGGCAGGGCGGGGTCAAATTGCCCATCATGCACAGTGCCTCTGGCCTTCTCAGGGCTCACAAAAAGTAGCTTAATTTCTTTTAAAATCAGAAGAAAAAGAAATGAACATTTGCAGTTGAAGATCATATAAGCGTCTGTACCAGCACAGTCATAAAATAGAATTTTCGTGTGTCTTAATATGTTTTATGTTTTTATGTAATATGTCTTTATCTTAATATCTTTGTAAGGTTTTCCTTCATGGGCCCGTGGAAGTCTTAATAGGCCCTGTGCCAAGTGAAGTGAAGCAGCTGCTTTGCTGTACAAATATATGAAGCAGAGAAGTTTAAAGAGTCTGAATTTTGATGTGAAAAACCTTGTTCTCCCTTCTCTCTTTGACTAAATTCCTTAGGAAAACGGGAACATGGAATAAATGCGGAAGCGGTAAGAAGGAGAAGGAAGCAGTGCCATCGCATTACGACTCAGCTGGGCTCTCACTTGGTCCAGCAAATCTGGATAAAAGTTAAAAGGTGTCCCTAGGGAGGCAGGCAGCCGATGGATAATAGTAAGGAGAGATACACGTGGACAAAAGATGTTGATTTGTAGAAGCTGCTGCCTGGCTTTCAAGCAATACAAAGCTAAGCCTCATTACCTCCTCTTTAGTCCTCAAAGTATGTGACTTGTGATGTAAATGACCAAGTCTCTCTTAAATTGGAGCTTCCTCCAGGACACCTCCAACCTGTCTGGGACAGCATGAGGATGGGACTGAGCACCCTGGCCATCCTTGGTTTTCTGATACCATGAACCTCTTCTGCGTTGCTAGAGCTGCCTCCAGCGAACATCACTTCATCCCAGTTCTTTGTTTAATGGGCTCTGAATAAAGTGATTGTCATTTACCAATATTTAACAGTGTCAAATATCAGTTACAGGAGCCTTTTCAATTAAAGAAATGTCGACTTTACTAATTAGAATACTAGCAGCTTGGAAACTACCCATGTGGTCATGCAAAGGAGACATTATCAGGTGGCAATTTGTGAGTTTTCTAAGAAGAACTTAATGGACCTTCCATATAGGAGACCCTGCAATGGTTGCCCTAAACGTGGTTCTCCTCATGAAGTCCAAATCCTCTAAGTGACTTTTCATGATGAGGCTGAGTTTATCTCACCCAGCAAGTACTTCACGTCTTCAGAGAAGCCAGCTCTACAGTGCCTGGGGATGCTTTCCCCAACAGGAAACATCCTCACTTTCATACGAGGTCTGAGAGAGGAAATTGGCCTTGGTGATTATATGAGGATCTCGGGTTTCAAACTGTATGACCTGTGCTGAGGGTTAGTGGTGATTTTCCTAAAGGCAAATGTCCAATGAATATGTCTTTGTAAATATGTCCTTTGAATTGCCTATCAAATTTTATCCTGTCTAAATTTAACACAGGGTGTAAAACTAAATACCTAAAGTGCCCTATTTACAAAGATATGGCATATTCCCTAGTGGGCAGGTCCCCTTTGTAACTACATTTTAAGCAGAAATCGTCTCATGGCTCAAATGTAGTTGCGTCTTGATGGGTACTGGGCAAGATGACATTTTCCACTTCCCTTATAGTTATACTGGGACCATGGGAGACACTCAGGCTGGCCAGGAAGTTTCCCGCACAGCCCTTTTGTGGCCACTGAATGCAGAACATCCAGGTAAGGACTCTCAGAAGGTCCTGAGGAATGGTGATGTCACAGTGGTGATGCGGGAGCCTGGATCCCTGAGTCACCATGTGAGGCAGCTCCAGAGCACTGCCAGATCAGTAGGTGACTGGCCTGAACAAGGTCTAAACTTGTTAGAAGCCACTGAGACTTGGAGGTTCTTCGTGTGACAGCAGCTGGAGTTAATCACCTCGACCAAAACACTAGGTTGGCCACATTATATAAACCTGACATTTTGTGATAGTTTTTTGGATTGCAGAAAGATTTTTTGATTTATTGATGCTGCTTTAGATAGAAGCCTATGCATTAATTCTTTTTTTATTTTAATTTTCACTTTATTGTCATAAGAACACTTAACATGAGATCTACCCTCTTAACAGATTTGTAATTGTTTAACTGTGGGCACGATGTTTTACAGCGGGTCTTTAGAATTTATTCGTCTTGCATGACTGCAACGTTATACTCATTGATTGCAGCTCTCCACTTCTCCCACCCCTCAGTCTCGGCAACCAGCCATCATTACGCTCTCTGCCTCTATGAGTTTGACTGTTTTCGTTACCTCGTATAAGTGAGATCATGCAATATTTGTCCTTTTATGTCTGACTTATTTCACTTACCATAATGTCCCTAAGAGTCATCCACGTTGTTGCATACTGCAGGGTTTCCTTCATTTTTAATATTGAAGGATGGCTATTATTTAAAAAAATCAAAAAAGACAACAAGTGTTGACAAGGATGTGGAGAAGTTGGAACCCTTGTACACTGTTGGTGGGAATGCAAAATGGTGCAGCTGCTATGGAAAACAATAAATTAAAAATAGAACTACCACCAGGGGGCTGGCCCCCTGGCCGAGTGGTTAAGTTCACATGCTCTGCTTTGGTGGCCCAGGGTTCATCGATTCAGATCCTGGGCACAGACCTATGCACCACTCACCAAGCCATGCTGTGGCAGCATCCCATATAGAAGAACTAGAAGGACTTACGACTAGGACATACGACTATGTACTGTGGATTTAGGGAGAAAAAGAAAAAAGAAAGAAGAGGAAGATTGGCAACAGGTGTTAGCTCAGGCCAATCTTCCTCACCAAAAAAATATATATATAAAAAACAAATAGAACTACCATATGATCCAGCAATCCCGCTTCCAGGTATTTATCCAAAAGAATTGAAATCAGGATGTCAAAGAGATATCTAGACTCCCATGTGCATTGCAGCACTATTTGCCATAGCCAAGGATGTGGAAACCACCTAAATGTTCATCAGGGGATGAATGGAGAAAGGAAATGTGGCATATGCATTAATTCTTTAAAGACTGTCAACTATGTGAAGGTGTGAATGAGATAAACTTAAAGATAAAAATATGTGGTGACTGCCACCAACTGATGGCAGCCCAGAACGGAGACACAGTGATTCTGCCACTGCAGTGCGAGTGAGTGAGGAGGCAGGGTTGGTATATACAACCAACAAGTTAATGATTACTTACATGTTGGGGCTCTTTCTCAAAGTGGAATGTTACATTTTGCTTCATTGATTATATGAGGATAGCAGATTTCAAAAAATATTACGTATGTTGAGAGATGATGGTATTTTTAATGGCAAAATATTCTAATGAATATATTTGTATAAAATATTCTTTGAATTCCCTATAAACTTTATCACTTTTGAAATATTTTTAAAAATATTTCCTGGGCATATGTAAAGGACTCCAGCGAATACAATATTTTAGTTTTGTTGATCAGGTTTTAGTCTTAGAAAAAGATCAAAAGACGATGTAATGTTTTTAAGCCAACTTTTTTCAGCAAGCTTTGAAATAATACCATGTAACTCATGTTTAATATTTCCAATTAATTCATGAGCTTCTTGCTGCTTGTCCTTTTCTTTAAAAGGCAGGGTTGAAAAGATTCAGTTAATGCAAAGCGTCAGCTCCGTCTTAAAATCTGAGGGATGTTCTGCAGCCAGGTTTGAAAGTAGCATCGTCCAGTGCCTCTCAGTGAAGGCGACAAGTGCCGTACGAAAAGGCTGGGAGAAGTCGGAGTTTCCAATCAGTCAGGAAGGGGCAGGCGTGGCATTTTACCAGGCAAGGGAAATGCCAACTGCTAAGAGAAAGAGGTCTCCGACAGGCCATCCATTAGTATCAAGGAGGCTGTCCCCAGTGATCACATCATGGGCAGAGATGAAATGAGCTTCTGCAGCACATCCCATGGCACTGAAGGGGAAGCGGAAAACAGTCCCCGGGGCCAGGCGCTCACGTGATAGGCCGGAGTATGGGACCGCATTTGGTTAGACTCATTCAGCGCAGGCCTGATTCCAAGTGTTCTGTGGCTTCATCTATCTCATCTTCACGCACATCTGTCAGGTAGATGTTATGATTCACATCCTGTTAACAGATGTGGAAACAGGTTCAGAAAACAGGATGTAAATAGGCTGCTTTATGCATAGATTTGTTAGTGATCTCTTGGTTAAAAAAACAAAACGGTAAATGGATAGATTTTCAACATGTCCTTATATGACTGCACATGCTGTGTGCTGCACAACTCCAGGGGTGACATTAACACCCTGCAGTGGGAAGAACGCTTCCTAAATTTGTGCCGTGCCCAACCTGTGCTGCCGCATGTAGCAGTATAGGTTAGATTGTGAATTGTATGAGGAGATGGACACATGAGTCATTGCTAGAACTTATTACCTTGATCTGCCAGCAAGGAGCACAAAAGGACACTGTGTGAATTAAATACAGGGGTTGAATCCATGAGCTAGCATATCGGCTTGAGACTTCCAGAGTGGAAGAAGCACTCAGAGTGTACTGGTCGTTACAATAGAGTTCAAATTAATGGAGAGTTGATTTGTTGCACTTAGAGGAAAAGGCACACGTTTTTGTGTTTATGTCTTTGTTTACTATTGTGCAGCCATCACCAAGATGTCTGCTAAAGGTTTCCCACTTGCTCCATGGTCCAGGCATGTAGTAGGATGGAACTTCTGAGCTCTAGTGAGCTGTGAGGAGACACGCTCATATTACTTCAGAGCTGGAGCATCAAGTCGCCAGTATAAAAATCCCCCAGCACTTTGTCAGCACGGAGAGAAGCTGTTCCCCGGCTGCTCTCAGGGTGAAGAAGCCAGCAGGCAGCGCCCCAGGTG